CACACCAATGATTAACTGTCGTTTGCCTGTTCGTGTTTTCTGCGCGGTGTGCAAATAATCTTTATCACTGACTGTAAAAATATTATATACTGAAAATATTATTAACCAGGAATTTTAACCAGTGTATCCAGAGTGTGCCAAGAAGGGAATTATTTTTTCCAGTCCTGATGCCCAAACGAATTTATTTCCCATACGTGAATTTTCATTATGTTACTTCAGGGCAATTTGATATAGTCTTAACAATAGACAATATTGTCAGTTTTCTCACAACAACGGATGTGTAATCATATTAATTAAGTGTGTTTAGATATAATTATTTTGCTATTGTTTAATGCTTTGTTTATTCGTTTTGTCAATATGATCATGTGGTATGTTTTCATTGGCATACATATATAAAGAGAGTTTTGCTCAACCACGTATAGTATACTCGAGGTATAGTCTTGTACACTGATCCAATTAATTTGTGGTTAAAGCTAAGACTTCGAATCTAAATTCTATATTGAAATTGATCATTGGTACTGTTCATCTCACGGTTCATTCACTATATAGACTGCAGGTATGAAGCACCGAAGAGTTTTTTTGAAAAACAGCTTTAGAATTTGATCAAGATGGGTGTATAAACTCCCTTGCATGCAAAAGCGCTTTTTCTGACTTTCATAATAGGTAGTATGGCTGCTACAATATATTAATACTGTGCGTTTAAACTGAATAATAGTAATATATATATATAAAATAATAAAATATTTACACAAAACAAAATATTTAGCGCACACAAAAGTTATATCAGTCCGCTATTATATACTATATATAAGACTGGGTTTCCACGGCCCTGTATAATTGGATTCTACATTTGTTCGCCAAAATGTCGGAACCAGTCGGACGTTGTTCTTTATGTTTTATGGGCTCATGGATGAATATACTTCGTCTACATAAAATTATTTGAGAATTATAAGTATGCTAATAATTTAAAGCGGTTAAATATCTCAAAGAATAACATCTACTTTTCGATTTCGGAAAATCAGTAGTTCCTAAGCATGGACAGCATGTTTTCGTTCCCATTTATTCCATGTCCCTGCATGTGGTAGGAAAAATGTTGATGGAATAAAAATGTGAAACAGCATTAAGGATAATAACAGAAAAGTTAAGATTCCCCCCAAAAAGATTGCAGCATGCAAGATAGCAAGGCCCAAAAGGCGTAATTTATGTTAATTTGAGTGCATGAAAACACTGGAGTGAATAGAACACGCTTCGAGAATATATTCACTTTATACCAAATTCACATAAAACATCGCATGAAAAATGTGTCCGATTTATACACAGATCATGCAATTGCACTATTTGCAATTTTTTGAATTTGAATTTTTCTAATTTTCAATTCTGAATTATTTTGCATCAAGTAAACTCCTCTAAACATTTTGCTTTCTTCCTAATAGAATGAAGAGCTCTATGATAATTGCTGGTGTCGTCATGGCTTTGTTGGTATCTACATCTTTCCATGGATTGGCTGAAGCAAATACTTGTTATCTGACAAAATGCCATTCATATTTCACAGCCTGTATGGATCGCTGTGCGACAGTCAATGCTTGCACGGATTGTATTATGTGGAAGTGGAGTTGTATAGCGAATAATTGCGAGGAAAGAGTATTTCGTCGTCGTCGAAGTCCTGAGCAAAATTTGCGAATGTTGTATAACGCCTTCAAGTCTCAAACTGCTAGAAAATGAAACACTTTCTCAATCGCAAGCCTACCACCAATGAACTTGGAATTTGGGCAAAATCTAGGAAACGGATGAAAGCCACATTGTTCGAATTTCAATTTCTGTGGAATAATTCGGTTAAGAAACAAGGCAACGGGAGACGTACAAGCTTGAATTTCCAACCCAGACATTCTTTTCGCGAATTAGACTGCAAAACGTCCGTTCCTTGGTGGGGATACTTCACGGTGTCAACCGCCGACTAACATCAGTGCTTCATTAATGAGCAGTGTTCTGCTTAGAGAGGTGAAATTAATGGCCCACTATAACGTTATGTACATTTTGAATAACTACACACAAGTTAATTTTACCGACAATGTAAAAATTTCTACTATATTTATTAAAATTTCTAAGAAATTGTTAGAAATAGATATTAATTACAACTTTGTGACCATTGTGAACGTTCCATCGAGCGAATAATAGTGTAGCAAGTAGGCAATTCTCTTTTGTCCCAATTACATACTTCATTAGCAAAACAGAGATGTGAATGCAGCAAGTATTCAAGAATAAGTATAGGTTATCATATGAGGGGCGATGCGATATCAGTTTTCTCGTTTGAGGGACGATATCATAAATGTCACGAGTGAACGCAGCGAACGATGGACATTTATGGTATCATCCTGAAAGCGATAAAACTGATATCGCCTCGCCCGATTATGATAACCTGTTTATTATATTCTTGTGCCTTTATCAGGGTCAGAATTTATGAAATTATTAATCATTGTCCCAATGCTTGCTAGCTTGCTTTATTTGGCTTTATAAGCATGACCTCATTGTAAGGCATTACTAAAGTTCTAACAGTAGAACAATATAAATTTACAATAAGCATATAAATGCTTTTTACTTTTGAATAGTAACATATTTACATAATATAAGCAAGTTACGTTAAATATTGTGAATAAGCCTGGTGTCAAGGTATTCGTTTCGTTTCTTGAAAATGCAAAAATGTATTTCGAAAAAATGTTTACTAGATCTGGATCATTGGGTGATAGTAGATATAACAAGTCGTCATTTGTTTCAAAGTTAATTGGTGCTTTCATTTTGGTTTTGAGAATGGAATTTAAGTCTTTCCATTGTTGTTCATAATATTTGCAAGAAAGTGAAAAATGGAATTCATCTTCAATTTCTTTTGCATCACAAAATTCACAGAAACGTTGCTCGCGCGGGATTTTGCGATTAATGCGATATCTTCCTTGTTCAATATTCAGCGTTTGACAACTCACACGGAACTGTGTGAGTAGCCTCCTATACGTTGGGTTATTAACTTGGTTGAGATACTCTTCTATTTTAAATTCCAATTTAAACGTCGAAAGGAAATGTAATTTAGGTGAGTTAGTTCATTTGTGTTTCCACAATAATGAATATTTATTCTTCATGTTGGTTACGTGTTGGGTTATATATGGCGGCGTTTGAGCATTTCCAGGTTATTGATCTGGGAGTTTTGGTCAAATGACTTCAATATTTTCATTACGTTAGAGTAAAAAACTTGTTGGTTGTTTAAGTGCAGTTCTTTGGACATGATGAATGCTTGTTTAACGATGGTTGAATCAGAAAGTGAATTAATATGAAGGATATATTTAATGAGTCTCTTGTGAATATTAGTTTACAAAATTTGAGATGGGCTTTTTCTGTTGGGGTTTGATTCCATTTATGAAAATCTTTATTGGTGCGGGTATATATCCACCCCATATCTCCGAGTTATATAATAGGATGGGTGATATAATACTATTAAAGATTTTTATGGCTAATTTTGATTTCAAACTAGAGAAATTAGCTTTCTTTTTAATTAGAAATAGTGCTTGTGTTCCTTTATCTGCTAATGTTTTAATTGCTTGAGTAAATGATCCGTTAGATGAAAGATTGAGTCCAAGGTAGGTGTATTCTTAAGTTTTTTCGATAGGTTTATTTCCAATGAAAAAGTCTGATACGTGTTGTTTCTTAGTTAATTTTTGGAAAATCATTACCTTGGGTTTTTTCAAGTTAACCATCAGCCACTGTTTGCACCAGTTGTTTAACTGATCTAAATATTTTTGATCTAAATATTTTTGATATTGAAAGTGGAACCAGATCATCGGCATATAACAAACAGTTTAATTTAGTTTCGTTTGGTAGTAAGAGTGGATGATGAAAAGGTGAATCATTAAACAATTGTGGCATGTCATTTTATAGGTAAATATTAAACAATAATGGACTTAGTATGCATCCCTGTCTTACACCTTTCAGGTATGGAAAGAAAGATGTTCCGCCTTGGGATTGTTTTACAGCGCATCGCGAATTGGAATATAAATTTTTTATTAAATCAAACAATTTCCCGCCAATTTTATTCTTTAAAAGTTTCAGAAACAAACCATCATCCCAAACGGAATCAAAAGCTTTCCTGAGGTCTACAAAGCATGCAGGCATATATTTTTCCGTTTGTTTTATGAGTGACATTTTTTCTATCTATCTTTTATGAGTGACATTTTTATCGGCTGTTCTATGATTGGGTAAAAATCCGATTTGTGAGGGGTGAAGTATTTTATTTTCGTTAAGGAAAATAAGAAGTCTTTCTTTGAGAATTAGGCAGAAGAATTTTCCGAGACAAGTTGTTATACTTATTCCTTGACAGTTATTACAATCAAAAAGGTCATCGGACTTAAAAATTGGCGTTATCAAACCTTGACACCATTGGCTAGAAAAATATCCAACTTCAAGTATCAGATTAAAAAGTTTTACAAAACCTTGCAGTAGGATATTTGTACTACATTTTATCATTTCATTTTTAATTCGGTCTAAAAAGCCGATTTATTTTTCTTAAGTTATTTGGCAGCATTTTTTATTTCCATGTCCGTTATTAAGTAGTCTAGATTTGTAAAGTGATGCCTATTTTGTTCTTCAACACTAAGCGATGTAGTGATATTATTTTGTAATTCACTTAATTCATGTCTGGAGTGCAATGTTTGAAAGTATGATATAACCATTGCTCTTCAGATATAACATTTGAACCCGAACTATTTGGAGTTTCATCATCTATAGTTTTGAGTATTTTCCAAAACGAATTAGGATCATTTTGGGCAGCGTTTTCAAGATCTACGAGTTTTTCAAACCGAAATTTTTCTTTTTTTTAATTTTAAAATGTTTTTATAAACTTTCAATTCATTATGGTACCTAATTCTAAGGTTTTCATTCATGTTTTTGGTTAGCTAATTTTCTTACTTCGTGTCTTTTCAGAAGACATTCTTTATCAAACCATTTTTTATTACTTACAGTGGTAACTTTTTCCGTTTTTTGACTTTTTTTATTTTACGGCTTTTATTTCCGGCTTCTATTAAAATATCTTGAAATTCATTTAAGCATTGAGTAATTACATTATCATTTCTAGGGTGATCAGTGTTCATAAAAGTTTGAAATTTCCTTTGTATGGTGGGTGTTCTGAGTTGATCAGTAAATGTTCTATTATAAATATTTTTTCCATATAAATTGAGGCGGCAACTTGTTTGAAAAATTAGGATTCAATGCCCTATTTGAAAAAAAATCTGTGTCATTTTTAGTATTTAGCCAGGTAGTGATCTGGCTATGATCTGAAAGGTAACTAGACTCCTGGGGCAACAAGGAATTCGATGTTGTTAATTAATTCAGTATTACAAATGGCGTAGTCTGTGGTACTAGTACTATATTTGTTGTGAAAAGTAGGTTTTCCTAATGAATCTCCCTTAATTCTACCGTCAAGGATTCTGAGATTACAATTTTTACAGATTTCAATAAGACGTTTGCCATGATTGTTAATTTTGTTGTCAAAATTTTCTCTTATTGATTTATGATATATGTCTGGGCTAAGATTTTTTATATATTTATTTCCATCTGGTTTGATAAAATCTTTAAGTTTTCCGATTCTCGCATTAAAATCGCCAATGAGCAATACATCCCCTTTACCGGAGAATGTGATTGTATCTTCTTGAAGCTTATCAAATAGTTCAGGTTCAAAACATTTAGAAGTTTCAGGTGGTATATAGACCACAGAGGTAAAGATCATTATTTGATTTAGATATTTCTCTAGATATTTTGCACCAAATAAAGCTTTGTGAATTTTTGATAACAGAAATGTGTTTCTCTAGTTTTGATTTAAATAATAAAGTTATGCCTCCAGATAATCTACTCGTCTGGCACACTTTCGCCGTTTTAATACTATTTATTGTTCTATATCCTGGTAAGTTTAAATTTGTTTGGGACCAGGTTTCTGTTAATAATATAAGATCATTTGATTTTATACTATTTACAAAATCTATATTTTTTGATTTGTCACCAATCACCTTATGAAAAAGGCCATTGATGTTCCACGTAGCTATCGATAAATCTGACCGCATTCTATAATTTTCTGAAACTTATATAAAAAAAATAAATTAATGTGATTTGAAAGGACTACTTAGTAAATTTTGGAAATTTTATGTTAGAATAGACTATACACTAAAGTATATATAAGATCAATATGTTAATCATAATTTCAAAATAATCGTGAATTATTGGTAGGATCGTAAGATTTACTATGACACATACCCATACATTAGTTTGATGAGTTAAACCAGGTGAGGTGGTAAACCTGTGTTGACTGGTGTTGTATATGGATGTTTTATTGGGGGTTGATGAACTTTGGTTGGGTTAGCTGGAATAGGTGGTATATTAGCTTCCGAGAGGTTGATTGCTTGATTTGAGAAGTTGGTGGGTGGAATATTAGATGGTGTTGTGGAGTAGTTGGTTGGTAAAATGGGTAAAAGGAATGGTGGTGGAATGAATCCAGGGGCAGGGTTAAAGGCAGGTGGGTTAAAATATGGGGGTTCATAGTTGCTAGTTGGTGGAATAAAACCAGGTGGCAATCCGACGTTTTTAAGTGGTGTAGATTTTCGGTTGTTCATTTGTTGCTGGTGCTGATGAGGGTTATCCCGAACCCAGGTGGGCTTGGGAGAATGTAGGCTTACTTTGTTATTTTGGCCATCACGACTGGGGGTTGTTTGCTGTTCGTTTGTTTTGAGTATACCGGTTGAGTCACCAGGTACTTTGAAGAAGGCAGCTGCTTTGAGGTTTTTAGCGAAAACTCTGATTCCAAATTCATTTAAATGTTTTCTATCATAAAAATGTTGGTAAGAAGCAAAGACACCACTGTAGTTTACATGAAGCACATTAGTTTTATTTGTGCATTTTTCTTTAATTTTCTGGTTTAACAGATTAATACGAGATTGCTGGTTGTCCATTCGAATTGATCTAATTTTTCTATTGAATTTTGCTGTTTAAGTTCATCAGCGGAGTTAATCATATTCATAAGGATATCAAATTAATTGTTTCCCCATGATTTCAAGGGTTTCCCCTGAATTTATATTCTGCCAGTAGAGATGTGAAAGGTTATTGTAATTAAATTGGCTGTAATTGAGTTGTTTGCAGAGTTGCTGAGAGATATTTGAATTTTATCACATTTCGAGGCATCGTTTGCTTCTTCTTGTTCTTCCCATCGAACATTAAATAAGGGGTTTTCTTTTAGGCTCAGATAGTAACGAAAATAAAACGCTTTCATACACATGACCAATCTTTCCTGCGAGGTTGAAAAGGCAATCATATCTGCATATGCTTTGTATAGATTATAATCTAACATTTTATAAGGGGCTTGCTTCTTCCTTGATTTCTTGAATTCGGAGGTTAAACGCCATCGGGAAAATGAGCTGTCGGGTTCTATCGCTGTTGTTGGTAAAGTACGTGCTTCGTCAAGCTCGACTGATTTTTCTTCTTCAAGCGTATCCTCATCCATAATTATTCTCGTAAAAACTTTCACGGGATGTTTAGGTGTTTGTATAAACAAAAATAAACTTACAAAGTACTCCTTTTATCACAAAAAAATTAATATTTTACGCTCGAAAAAACATGTCCGCCATCTCGCAAATGCAAAGGAAAGACCACAATGCAATAATTATTAAAATAGCGGGCCAAAAATACTATTAGTGACAAAAAACGATATCAGTGACATATCGTGTTTATGTCACCCTGGTATCGCCCTGATATGATAAGTATGTGATAAATATAGGTTATCATATAAGGGATGAGGTGATATCAGTTTTATCGCTCGAGGGATGATATCACAATTGTCACGAGCGAGCGCAGCGAGCGAGGGACAATTGTGAAATCGTCCCGAGAGCGATAAAACTGATATCACCGAATCCCGAGTACGATAACCTATTTATTATATACTTGTACCTTTATCAGGGTATGACACCCAAAAGTAAACAGTTTTGAAAAAATAGGATCATTTTAGAATTCAAAACATTCATCATTTACTGAACAAATATGATTTTTGAAAATAAATAGACCATTCATATAAATAATATACAATTTAAGTCTTTCGTTTTGTATTATCGTTCTTGTTTCCTTCGATAAACTGTCGACATCAACCAACACGAACCTCGAGTCGGCCATCTTTGTTTTGACAAGGCGCGAAATTTAGCGGGACAAAAAACGATATCCGAGACAAAAAACGATATCCGGGACGATATCGTTTTTATGTCCCGCTGCTTCCTACCTGATAAAGGTACAAGTATGTGATAAGAACCATTACAAACATTTTGCAAAATTGAAAATTATTGATATATTGACTACTATAGGCCTACAAATACAGTAGTATCACGATCTTTGGGCATCCCACTCAGGAACCAAATGTTGCAGATTTGAATTTTGAGTGAAAATTACATGCATTGTTAGACTCAGGAGCAGCTGCGAAATTTACAAGGATAGGAACTGAACCTGCACCTCGCGATTCTGGATGGTGCAGCACTCTGAGTCCAGATATTAAACAGTAATTATAATTTGTTTGTTATTTCGAGTCACAACAATTATAATGTATTTTGTGGTATGTTGATATTCTAATTCTGCCACTGAAGACGATGTTTACTACCACAATTTTTTTGCACACGTGTCAGTCCAAAAATTATTGACATGCCTTGGAAATTCGAAAAGCTTTGCGATGCATGCAATGCCGTTATGGTCGTGGCTCGGCCGCCAGTTTTCAAGATGATTAAAACGTAAAAGAATCAACAACCAGCCACTTGCAACAATATTAAACCTTACCCACACCCCACACCTAATCCTAACCCCCACACTAACTCTAACGCTAAAGCAAACTCTTATTTCAATTTTGGAACCATCTCGTAAACTACCTCTCTTCCATCTCTTTTAAACATTACCATGCCGTTATCTGGATTTAAGATGATTTTGGCGATTATAGAACCTCCATTAATAATGAATAGATTCAGTATTTGCCGTGGGATTTCATGATAGTTTGCTGCGTTTTGGCTAAATTAATGAGAATTTATCTTCAGAAACCCCATCCCCGTCATGTTTTCCCCGAAATAAGTCCATCAAGTTTGGCCCAAGAACGACTTTTTGGGCGTCGTTTGGCTCTTTTGAATTTACAGTGTTCTTGCGATGGCCAGACAAATATATGTTTCTTATTCGTATTTACTGGAAATTGTTTTCAAAATTCTTACTGTGGAAATAGTATCTTAGTTGAAAATAGTATGGACATCCAATTTTCATACTAACTGCAATTTCCATACTATGGATTTTTAAGGTGTCTAAAAAAGTTACGGCCCTTAATTAGAAATCATCCTTTTGTTGTAAACACCCAAACCTCATTACCTCGAAGGAGTAGTCCCGTCAGTTGCTCAGTTCGATTAAATAAAAAGGTTCAACTGACTACAGAACAAATAGTTTTTTACTGTTTACGTGCACAAAATCAAATTCATATGTTGAACGATACCAAAAACTTAAATTAAATAACTTCCCATGTATAATTATAAAATTCGATTAGTAGTAGGAAAACGCCGATTCTGGGACATTTTGGTGACAAACCCTCACCCCCACCCCCATGGTGACAAAAAGACCAATTAACAGCTACTGCGCACTCCTTCTGCGCAGATTTTGGATCACATGACCTATGACGTCACTTCCGGTTTACTGCGCACCCCCTCCCGCGCATCCGATGACGTCACTTCCGGTTTACCGCTATGACGTCACTTCCGGTTTATAAAATCACGTGACCACGCCCCCACCACGCCCTCCCCCAAACCCCTGCCAGCCCCCCGCCGCCCCACGCTTGGAGTAATCTCGCCGAAGCCTTACATAAGTCTTGCATAAGCTTTACATAAGTCTTCCCTAGGTCTTCCCTAAGTCTTCCCTAAGCCTCCCCTAAGCCTACCCTAAGCCTTCCCTAAGCCTTCCCTAACCCCACCCAAAACCTACCCAAAAACCCCACCACCCCCCGCCTTGGGAAGTCTTCAATAAGTCTTCCACTGCGCAGATTTGGATCGCGTGATCTATGACGTCACTTCCGGTTGAGGAAAAAAGCTGAGTCAGCAGTTTTTGAAAATATTTTTCTTTTTGTATATAATAAAAAGGATCCTTTTCCTTCAGTTCCCAGGTCCTGGAACAAGTTGTCATTCCTATTTTTAAACCCTTTGGGTTTGAAAAAAACTGAGTCAGCAGTTTTGAAATAATTTTTTTTAAAAAAGGACACCGGAAATTACTGAAAGACTAAGGGGATGGTACAACTGGCTAACCACCCACGTACCATCATCCATCAGGAAAGGCGTGTCCGACGCTTTTAACACCATGAGGAAGAAGGTTGTAAAACTGTACAGCGGCAAAGAGGGAGAAGACCAGTGGCACGACGCAAGGGAGAACTTCAGCGACGAGGACGAACAGTGGTACGACGCCAATCCGGAAGAGGATCTGAAACCCATCCTTGCCAAGCGTGGTATAAAGGAGAAGGTAAAGAAGTATGTCATCAATCCTAACGGATCGTACGACCCGGTCCACTTCCTCGATACCACAAGGGACGAGGTTGAGACGCTCATAAATTCTGAAACAGAACCGAGGAACGTAAACATGTCTCTAGCATGCGAGATAGTAAGGAACGATCCGAAAACTGAGGAAGAAGTATCCGTCGTCGCACACTTCAGATCAAAAACCCACAAACTCGTCGGTACGGATAACACGGAAGAGTCTTTTAACACCATGAGGGAAAAGATGCTAAAATCCTTTTCCGAATACCAGAAGCGTGGTAGTGGGTGGAGGCTTCGTAGGGTAGATCTGCTCGAAATTCATATCGGAAAATACCAACCGTTAAGGGGAAAGGGCTACGAACCATTATCCGGGACAATCAGGAAAAAGAAAGTGATCATCAACATGAAGAACGACGACGATGAATGTTTCAAGTGGGCTGTGACCCGCGCACTGAATCCCACTGACATCCATCCGGAAAGAATTACAAGGATTCTTAAGGAGCAGGCTAAGGAACTAGACTGGGAAGGGATAGAGTTCCCAACACCCCTGGACAATATAAAAAAGTTTGAAAAGAACAACAACATCGGTGTTAACGTGTTTGGGCTTGACAGATGTCATAAGGTATGTCCCTTGCGAATATCCGGCAGTGTTGATTCTATAAACCTCTTCATGTGGAAGAACCACTATAGCGTCATCAAGGATATGTCGAGACTTGTAGGCGAACAGGTTAACGATCATGGACATAAAAAACACATCTGTAACCGCTGTCTTAATGCATTCGGATCGAGCGGGCTCTTGGAGAAACATCTGGAGTTATGTTCGAACAACAACTATCGAAGGCATGAGTATCCAGAACCTGGTACTACTACGGAGTTCAGAAATTACGAAAGAATACAGACCGTTCCGTTTGTCATCTATGCAGACTTCGAATGCTACATCGAAGGGGTTGACGCGGTTGGGCGAAACCCCAACAGATCGAGTACCACCCAATACCAAAAGCACAACCCAAGCGGATTTTGTTACTACGTCAAGTGTTTCGACAATTCCGTTTACAAACCCAAGCTGGTACACTATACCCAACAACACGAGGGAGAGGACGTTACCAAAAAGTTTGTGGATGTGTTGGAAGAGGAAGCTCACGATATATACAACAGGTTCAAGTTCAAGGAACCTATCAAGATGTTTTTCAAAGATACCGAAAATTATGAAAGGGCGACTGTCTGTTATGCGTGTAGGAAGGAATTCACTGCGAAAGACCACAAGGTCAGGGATCACTGTCACTATACGGGAGCGTACAGGGGTGCGGCACACAATACGTGTAATTTGAAAATGAGAAAACCGAGATTCATTCCGGTACTTTTTCACAACCTCGAAGGATACGATGCTCATCTATTCATTAGAAACCTTGGGGTAAATAGTGGAGACATCAAATGTATTCCTAGAACGGAAGAGAAGTACATTTCCTTTACTAAGGAGATAGAGGTTGGTAAGTTTACCGATGAAAACGGGAAGGAGAAGAAGGTTATAAGAGAGCTGAGGTTTCTTGACTCGTTCAAGTTCATGGCAAGCTCTCTGGACAAGCTCGTCAAGGGTTTGGGTAAGGACGACTTCAAAAATTTGGAGTTGATGACGGGTCGTCGCACTAAGGAACGGAGGGAGTTACTTAAACAGAAGGGTGTTTACCCTTATGAATATATGAACGGTTTTGAGAGGCTTGAAGAAACATCGTTACCACCGAGGGAGAAATTCTTCAGCAAGCGTAGCAACGAAAACATAAGTGACACGGATTATGAAAGAGCCTGGAATGTATGGAATACCTTCAACATGAAAACCATGAGGAACTATCATGATCTGTACCTGCTAACGGACGTCCTACTCCTGACGGATGTGATGGAAAACTTTAGAAAGGTTTGTAAGACCAACTACGGATTGGATCCGATGTGGTACTACACAGCACCCGGGTTGGCATGGGACGCTGCGCTGAAGTTAACCGGTGTGGAGCTGGATCTCATATCCGATCCCGATATTTTATTTATTTATTTTATTTTATTTTATTTTATTTTACAAGATTCGCCAAACATAACAGACATAAATAAGACTAATACTTTACAAAATTTACATACAATTCGGGCAGGGACTAGCCACAGAGATAATCTCCAATTATGGGGCCCCTCACAATAAGTTACAATATATAACATTAAAACGAATTATGCTAAAATGTCAACAACATGTCCTCACTAATAAACTATCAAGAGACCGAGTTGAGTGGCATTTGACGCACACAGACTTAAGTGTTCTACGATTGTCCGGGTTGTATATTTGTTCTAAAAGGTTTAAGTAGTAATTGAATAAAGAGATTTTAAAGTAAGCTAATGATCTTGAAGTGTCACGAATATTGCTAGGGAGAATGTTCCATACGCTAGGCGCTCTCACATAGAAATTGTTCTTGTAGCTAACTGTCCTGCATCGAGATACATTAAGAAGAATACCATTGACAGGGTCAGCGTTTCTAGTCGTCCGGGTGGTTGTTCGTATTGACACATTGACATCGTTGCTTAGAATACTCTTGTAAAGAAAAACTAAGTCTAGAAATTCGTGCCAATAGCAGACCGGGAGAATACCGATAACCAGTAGTCGTTCCCTGTATGTTGTGGCTGTTCTGTAAGGAAGGGAAAGGATGAATTTGGTCGCGCGACGTTGAACCCGTTCTATTGACAGTATGTCGCTGACAGTTTGAGGTGCCCACACCTGGCTGGCATATCCTAACTTGCTGCGCACTAAGGACAGGTACAACACCTTTCGCACGTGGATGTTATGCGTGTCGGATGCTGTTCGACGAATGAAGCCTAGCATTGAGCTCGCTTTTGATGTTATTTCTTCAACCTGTTTCGTCCACTTGAGATCTTTTGTGACAACAATCCCAAGGTCTTTTTGATGACATAGTTGCCTCAGAGAACTATCCAGTAGTTTATAATTTGTTGTGACTGGTTGGCGACTTCTTGTGAAGCTCATTACTCCGCATTTAGACTTATTTAAGTCCATCTTCCAGATAGTACACCAGTTCACGAGATTATTGAGATCATTCTGCAGACTTTCGCAATCGGGTAAATCTTTCACCGGACGGTAGCACTTGGTATCATCGGCAAACATTGCCACAGTTGATTCGCCCGAGATGGAATGTGGAAGATCGTTCACATATACTAGGAAAAGGAGGGGCCCCAAGATTGATCCCTGAGGAACTCCAGACAGTACAGGGAGTGTACCGAGGTCTCACCCAGAACAGTGACTCTTTGGTAGCGGCCGGAGAGATAATTTTCAAACCAACTTAGTAGGTCACCTCTTATTCCAAACTTGTGAAGTTTAATCAACAAAAGCTTATGACTAACCTTGTCAAACGCTTTTGCAAAGTCCAAATACACAGCGTCGACTTGGTTTCGACTCTCCAACGCTTGGTGAATATCCTGGAGAACGTGCAGAAGCTGTGAGGTGGTTGATTTGCCTCTGAGGAAACCGAATTGTAGATGGTGGAGTTGAGTGAAAATGTGTGATACGAGTTGGTTGTAGACACAACGTTCGAAGACTTTGGAGACCAGGGACAACAGAGATATTGGTCGATAGTTTGATACATCTTCAGCTGGACCTTTCTTTGGGATTGGAACAATATTGGAGAGTTTCCACTCATTTGGAAGTTTACCCAGAGATAAACTCTTGTTGAAGAGATCACATAGCGATAAATAAATACTGGACGCACAGTTTTTGAGGAGTTTCGCTGGTATTTTGTCAGGGTCAGCGATATGTACCTATTCATCGAAAAGGGTATTCGGGTGGAATCAGCACCATCACCAAAAGGTATGCCAGGGCAGATAATAAGTATATCGAACTTTCTAAGAACCTAACCTGGTTGGAAAGATTCAAAAAGTGGATGGGAAAAAAGTTTTCCGATCTATCATCCGTAATCATATCAATGCTTAGCATGATTATTTCGGCAATTACTGGCATTGAACCGGTAACCAATCGTGACGACAAGGGGCGGTCCACATACCTACCCTATATGGACGCGAACAACCTGTACGGATGGGCAATGAGTCAACCTCTACCCATCAAGGATTCTAAGTGGATGGACGGCAGGCGACAGGGAACTGGAGAAGTGGACAGACTATAGCTGTATCCTCGAAGTGGATATGGAATATCCGGACGACTTACACAGCAAGCACAACGAATATCCCCTTGCACCCGAAAAAATAATAATTAACAAGGTGGAAAAACTCGTTCAGAACCTCAACGGCAAGGAAAAATACGTCCTTCACCATAAGAACTTGGAACAGTACCTGAACCTGGGGTTAAAGATCACTAGGATCCACCGCGGACTGAAATTCTACGAAAAGCCTTGGATAAAGGAATACATCCAACTCAACACGGACCTGCGTACAAAAGGCACTACGGACTTTGAGAAGGACTTCTTCAAGCTTATGAACAACTCGGTATTTGGAAAGACGATGGAAAATGTTAGGAATAGGGTCGACATAAGACTTGTTAATAACGAGAAGAAGTGGAACAAGTTGGCTCAAAACAACTACAAATCTGCGACCGTTTTTTCCGAAAACTTAGTGGCAGTCCATATAATGAAGACATCCGTAAAACTGAATAAACCTATATAATTGGGGATGAGCATCCTTGACATCAGTAAGACCCTCATGTATGACTTCCACTATAATTACATTAAACCAAAGTATGGGGATGATGCCAGGCTCCTATTCACGGACACGGACTCCCTATGCTACGAAATTAGGACCGAGGATTTTTTCAAGGACATATCCGAAGATGTTCACGAAAAGTTCGACACCAGCAATCTAGGTAAGGACCATCCATCCGGAATCCCAACGGGTGTGAACAAAAAAGTCATCGGGATGATGAAGCTGGAAACGGGTGCGAAACAAATTGAAGAGTTTGCGGGATTAAGGTCGAAGCTATATGCTTACAAAATAGCGGAAGGCGGCGGTGAGGGAAAGAAGTGTAAGGGAGTCAAGAAAGTAGTCATCAAAAAAGGAATAACATTCGAAAACTATAAGGAATGTCTCTTCAGTGGTGAGAAACAATGGAGGGGAATGAATGTCTTCAGAAGCAGGTTACACGAAATATATACGGAAAGGATCGTTAAGGTAGCCCTATCAGCAAATGATGACAAGAGGATAATTATGAATGATGGAATCCACACGCTAGCAATCGGGCACAAAAGCCTAAGACAGTAGAAATCAATTTTAATATTCGAAGGAACATTAAAATTCCGACGGGTCTACAGTAATTTTGTAATTACGAATCCAGACCCCAGTCCCAATATTCCAATCGTGATCTGTTGGTATTCTTCCA